GTCATAAAATGGTATGGATTTATTTCACAGTAGTTTTTGCTTCTCGAACCTTCTATAACCATGGACCAGAACAGAAAACGTTTACATCTTCACACATATTCTTTACTTCAACAACAGAAATTTACTTCGGTCTTTTTAGAGATACATCTCTGATGCATTTCGCTTTACATTCATATAGTTCCCAAAGCCAGATTTGCGAGTACTAAAACAGGCAATAAAAATGAAAAAGGCAGTCACATAAAAAAAAAGCAAAAATCTTGACTTGAAAGGTATCCAGTGATTTTCCTGGCGGGGAATATAAATGCTAGATGTTGCAACTTTAACTAACGTGATAAAATATGAAACCTTACCGACCACTGCTGCTACATTCACGGTTAATCTGGCAAACTGTGAGGAAACATTATTATGAGCCCTACTAGCATGAAGAAAGGTTTCAGAGCAGTGATGCTTGGCTCACCTTTATGCCAAAAGTTTCGTTGGTTACATCTAAGAGAAACTGAAATGTATCTTACAATCACAGCTTCCTATGTTAGTCTTTGTTTTAAATGGAGCAATTAAAAGAATGGAAACCTCAAGAGCTGCATACAATCAGTTCTTCTCTGATAATCACTGGATCCATGCTAAAAATCCTAAGCCTGCGAAAATTCACTTGAGAAGCAATCCTACTGGCCTAACTCAGCAGGGCATAGAGTGATGCACGTTTTTGTGTCTTTCCTGCAATGTAGCTGTCAAGAGGCTGCAACCAGTGCTTATTTTGTGCGGAAATACAAGAAACCCTTTCAGAAAACAAGTGTCTGCAGTGTTCCTAAAAGCAGGAAGAACTATGCTCTCCTGGGTTACACGTTCGTTCCGCTCTTTAAATGAACACCCTGCATTTAATTCTTAAGCATCTCTATCAAAGGCAACACTCCTTTCTTTTGGAAAGGATGGGGAGTTGAGTTGGCCCAGGGGAACAACCCCGCGTCTGCTTCTCTAAATGTACGGCTGGGGAGATTTTTTTTTGCCCTCTTGAATAACATCATTTTGGGAAGCACACACAAAACTTAGCATTATCACCCTGAGGCAAACGCACAATGCACATTGGAAGCAGCTTTGATGGTTAGGTTGTTTCCCGAAGCAAACCAATTTCTCCTTCAAACTGTTGACAAAGTAAAAACTGAAAAAAGCCATTCCTAACTTTCGCCACTTGTTTTATTGCTCCAGTTCCTAATCTTTCCCGTCACACATCCACAGTACACAGAGGCTCACTGCCAGGCTGAGCCGATTCTACAATTGTCATCTTGGGTTTCTTTCGCGTTTCCTCCTAGGAATATAAAAAAAAAGAACCAACCATAATTATACACATCCTTCATCCTTGCTGGATGCCAACCTTCAAACGTTCCCGGAACAGAACTCTTTTAATATCTGATCTTGCTCCAGGTTATCCTAGTTAGTACTTCCTTGTTGGAAGCATCAAAGTGCTTCCGTGGCGAAAGGATTTGCTGGTGACATCACCGTTGGGGGGGGGAGTGCCCAGTAGTGGGCTCCTTTCATGTATCTTTTGAAGTTGCCCACTGAAGTGGTACCCATTAATCTATTTGTGGTCACCCGCTTTCGAACTGCTGAGTGGGTGGGAGCCAGAGCGTGTGACGGGAGTTCAACCCGCCCTGTGGCAGCAACGGGTCTCCAACGTGAGTCTGCTCATTGTCAGCCCAGCATTCTAACCTCGGGAGCCACCGTGCTTAGTTGCTAGGTAAATTTAAAACCGAAATTGTAACATCTTTTTCTTGAAAACAAAGGTTGCCTAAAGGGACACGGATGAACTGGCTGCTCACGAAAGGGAGTCTGGCTGCTCTCAATACTTTCAGAATTTTGTTTTTGTTAACCTCCGAGTTGGAGAGCTCGGCTTGGGTTTGTAAAGGAAGGAGAAAAGTGGTGTTTTAAAATAAGTGCATCCTAAATAGAGAATCCCTATGAATATAGAATTCTTATGTTCCTATAGTTAAGAGTTTCATATATGGACAAAGACCAGCCTGGTTATCATCATACTTCGTGAAAACAAATAAACACTGTGAGATTCTTAGCAGATTATCTGATTATCTAATCCAGAGGTCTCCAAACTTGGCAACTTTAAGACTTGTGGACTTCAACTCCCAGAAGTCCAAAGTCTTAAAGTTGCCAAGTTTGGGGACCCCTGATCTACTCAGAAAACCTTCATGTTTAAGAATCAGGAAAACCATGAACTAAGCAGAACCATGAACCTGTTTTGTATGGTCAAAGCAGGGTTGGGATCTAACCGGTGTAATTACCAGTTCGGTGGCTACGTGTAATTGTGCACGCGTGCAATTAACAAACTGCAGAGCTACCCGGACAGCCGAGTAGCGCTGCACGCAGGTGTGCAGCGCTTGAAAAAGCCCTTTTTTCCTGCTTTTTCAACCGCAGCTGTGCCACGCAAAGCAGCTGAGGGTGAAAAAGCAGGAAATAAAGGACAGGTAAGAGCTGGGGCAGGCGGGTGGGCCAAAACAGCAGCAGACACAGAACCAGTTCTGTGTCTGCTGCTCTTCAGAGCTACTGGTTCTGCAGAGCCGGACAGACCCGGTAGAATCCCACCCCTGAGTCAAAGCAGCCAGGGAGCAGCTCACCGAGATGCTACTCACCCGTTCTTGTGCTAATTTTCTCATTTCCTCTTGTAACTTGTTCAGAATGTGCAGATTGGGCTTGTTCTTTTTGGCATATTGTTGAAGTTCTATCACGCTTTTGTCAGATGTTTCCTACCCAAAAGGCATCAAAATTAAAGGGAATTAAAGGATTTTAATACGGTCCTTTTACACCCTACTTTTTTTAAAAAAGCCTCTGAATTCAGTCTAAGCAGCAAATCACAGATAATTTTTCATGTCCATAGAATCTCCTTATTTAGTCCGGAGGCCAGGCAGAACATAAAGACACTTTACCTGCTTAACCATCTTACTGCTTTCTCTGCCGTACATGCGCAATAAAGAACCCCAGTTTTTCACATGTGGGTGAAGAAGCTGAAGGATTTTCTGGGAAGCTAGTTGCTTTCCAACTCTTTTGTTTTTACCTGCAAAATCACCACAAGGCAAGTTTAAATGTCACACTCATGGAGTAAACGTAGGAAATGGACACAGAAATTGGAGAAAAAGCTACTGCATTGAGGAATCGTACTTTTAAAAACAATGATTCTACGATGCAGAATGTTTTGTACATTATATATAAAATTTGTAATTTTTAAGGGAATGGCTACCAATTAAATTATCAACTTTGGTCCTTAACAATTATGAGTGTGCAGGAAAGGGAAAGCATTTTATCTTATGTAGCCAAAATGTTGTTCTTTTTCTTTACAAACTTATATTCAAAATATTACAAAAAACTGCAGTTCCAGCTTTGATACCAACGTACTCAGGTATAAATACTTCTGTTTTTGATTGAAAACCGTAACTAAAATGATAGTGTCTTGTGATCAGTATATAGGAAATTCTGACCAGTTAAACAAGAAAACCAACAGCACCAAGAACACTTATGTTCTTAGAGGGAAAGTGGCATATAAATCTAATAGAACTGATTTTCCACAGATTTTCTTAGTAACTGTGATACTTACACCACCCCCGCACAGTATGCTTCCCACAAGTCATAACATATTCGCTCTTCTGATTTTTGCCAGGAATCACTTCAAATTTTATGGATGTATCACCCATGCCATGATTTCTGGAGGACAAAATAAATACTGTTAGAAACACTTCGCGTTTAAAAACTCTGGGTTTATTCATTAAAAACATTAAAATTTTAAAATAAATGTTTGCATCAAATCTGGACACCAACATAAAATGTCTTTCAGCTAAAGCAGTGTTCATGGTTTCGAAGGACAAAAATGTTCTTGGTTTTTACTGCACCTGGTAAGCAAATTGAACAGCTGACAGGGAGTGGGAGTGTGGCTCCGTTGGCTATGGAGGAAACTGGGGAAGGGCAAAGTCCAGCTGGGCAGAGCAGGGAAGAGGTAGAACAAGGGAGAGGGAGTTCAGAGGAAGACCCAGGCCCACCCCTTCTTCATTCTAGGGCATGCAGGGAGAAACAGAGAAGAGAGCAACATGGCTTACGGGGGAGGAAAGGGCCCTGATTCCCTTCATTAGCCACAGCTGGGAAGACAGCTGATAAGAAAGGCAGGCAATGTGCAGCAGGCTGCTGGGAGCAAACATGACTTTATATTGTATAGTTGTTGCTTATCTGTGTTTCTGTCATCTTCCCAACCATGTGAGTTTTGCTGTGCCTTCAGGTCTAGAATTCTTGCTCCTGCCCTGCCAAACTAATTACCTCAGTTTGGCTTGATTGGACTTATAGTTACAGTTTGTATTGACCATGTTTTGGACTTATCCTCTGCAGTCAAAATCTGTTCCTGGGAAAGTTTTTCTCCAGCTAGAAGGTAACCTGGACATTGGGGGCAAAGTTGGAGCTAATAAAGGGACTCTTATTGATTAACTGACTGTGTTGCCTTTGTGCCACGCCCTGGGTCATCACTGCATGTCTTTTAAACCTGCACATTGGTACAGACAATCATAATGTTCACACAGCGGAGTTAAGACCACAACAGCCACATGGGGGGACTCTGTCCCAAGTGGACTAATTTTCAAAGCAGTTATCACGCTTTAGGAACCATTTCTAGGTTCTCCCAGATTAAAGGGAGAAAAAAAGAACAGGCGAGGCTATTCCATAAAAAGAACGAAACCTTCCTCCAAGGATAAATCACACACGCCATGCAAAACTCACCTTTTAAGGCACTCGTGAAGGATCTGATATGGAGACAGGAGTCCAGCTTTACTGGTCAGTTCGTACACCCGTGAATCCTCGATACTGATATGGTTAAAATACTACAAACAAAATCGGTAAAACGGTCATTTAACGGTAGAAAGGACTTTTTGAACTTTTGCGGGGAGGGCTCTAGTGGTTCTGCGGTGGTAGTATTAAGAGAGAAACTAACAAGGAAAGATTTAAGAGAATAAAATAAGTGAACGTTCTTTGCAGAAGGCAAAGACGTTTTGAAACTCCAGCCTCGTGGACATTCCAGTATCCTGAATTTGTATTTGAAGATTCTTGTATTGCAAATTATTTCTTGTCTGTTATCTTTTGGCAAGTCTCGCAGTTTGGCAAGGTTTGTGCTTATTACAGCTAATTATTTTGCAGAAGCCTTACAAGGTTTCTGTTCCCTTTTGGATTGTGTTTGATTTGTTGGAAAAGAGTGTGGGTCAGAACACTTAGCAACATAAATTTCGGGCTCAATCGTTGTTAACTTGAGGACTACCTGGACTCAGAAGCTCAGAAAGGTTATATTTGACATTGGGGTTAGAGGAAGCCACTGTCTGAACAGGGTCCCAATTTTTTAGTCTATATGGTCACCATTTCCAGGTATTTCAGTAACGAAGGAAAATATGTTCTTGAAGAGATAGAAAGGTAATTTATAACTTAGCTTATTAAGCCAGGGTCTATGACTTATAATAAAGTTTGTCTTGCCTTATTAATCTAAGACATTATCATCCAAATATGGCCATCAGCTCAGCTATTCCCAGAATTGTGTCAAATTCAGTTCAGGTCCACCAAACACAAGATAGAAAGAAAAGGAGACTTCATTATTTCTCTTTCCAGAGGCTGCCTCCTTTAGTTAACTCCTTCCAAGGAGTCAAAGGATAAATACAATAAATTACAATGGCAGTTCTTCTTCAAAGAAGCTGAAGTTTTAAAGGAATTTAACATGCGAAGACTCAGCCCTGAACGTACCTCTAATTCCTCACTATCTTTGGGCTTCTCCTCAGAGGTCTGCTTCACAAAATCGGGGATGAGGATTTCCAGAGTAGCTCGGGCTGAAAAAAAAAATAACTGGCATGAACAGAGGCCTCTGAAAATCACATGCATTTTGTCAAGAATGCCAACATGCATCGAACAATATTTTCCTTCGTTTTTAATATGGTGAAAAGGTTCCCAAGTTGGGAAGTTTATTTATTACTTGTATTTTGTATTTCATAACTGCCCTTCTCTCTCAGAGAGTGGACTCTTGGGTGGTGAAGTTGCAGAAACATCTTTTGAGAGGAAAGCCTGTGGAAAATAAATCCCAGATATATCTGTGCTAAATTCTCTCAGCTCTTCTGCCAATTCTACACACACTTCCCTTAGTTGCTACCCAGACGGAGTGCGAGTCCCAGAATGGAATAGCTTAAGTGCCACAGTCTTGCTGCAAATTGTAGTATTACTTGTCACTTAAATCGCAGAGATTTAAACAGCAAGCAATAGTTGGGTTCTTTTCATCCAAAATCACAATCTTGAGTGGAACAAGTAAAACAAAAACAAAATTCTGCACTTCAGAGAACATGGTACAGGTACTCCTCGAGTTACGGCACCATTGAGTCCAACGTTTCTGTTGCTTAGCAGTTGTTAAGGAAATTTTGCTCCATTTTAAGACCTTCCTTTCCACCATTAAGTGAAGCACCGCAGTTGTGAATTTAGTAACACAGCTGTTAAGGGAATCTGGCTCTGCCGTTGACTGTCAGTAGGTTGCAAAAGGGGACCACATGACCCTCGGGACATCACAATCACCAAGCACTTGAATTTTGATCAGGTGACCATGGGGATGCTGCAGCAGTCGCTAAGTGAGAAAAACATCTATAAGTCACTTTTTTCAGTGCGATTGAAGAGTCACTATATGAACTGTTGTAGGTCGAGGGCTACCTGTACTGCATTGCAGTCACGTGTCTTAATTGCACGCATCAGGGTGTGTTAATTTCTCTCTATGCTAGCCCAGCAAGCATTGACGAAAGCACAAATCGCATGTAGAATCAGAAATGATGCGCCCATTATTCTGAGAATGCTAATTTTCTTGACTCCACTAATCATCCATAGTTCTAGATCAGGGGGGGCCCCCGTCTGCAAAGCCAGAAAGGTTGGGGAACTCTGATCTAGACAGCTTTACTTACCAGCTTTATTCTTGGCAAGTTTTTTGCTACTGGCAGTCCCTGCTCCGTAAGTCACTCCATCAATAATAACTGATGCTCCAAAAGGCTCACTTGGGTTCTCTTTAAAGAGAGGAGAGAAAAATCAAAATATCTGAAGTCCCATCTCATCCTGTCAAGAAGACCGAGAGGCTCATGTTTAGCAGACCTGGCGGTTTACAAAGCCTACTCAGTTAAAGAGTAAGCCAGGAATAGGTTTCCTTTATATTGAACCATCCCATGCTACCGTTTCTTTATTCCACTCCCACGGTGCTATCCCATTAACATTCTGGAATGTAAATGTATTCAGAACAGGAAGTTTTATAGTGTTTCCCAAAAAAAAACCCAAACAAACGTAGCTCAAGAAGGAAGGCAAATATATATACGTGTCCTGGGATAATGTTTCAGGACCCAATCTGGATAAGTCATGGGGACCAGAGCAAGCATTCGGACCCGTGCTGGAGCCCATCCTCAGGGAAGTTCTCTCTACCAGAATGTGTGCTTTGGGCTATTCTATGCTAATATTGCTACTAAGATTGTTGGCCGAGCAGGGACAAAAATAGCCAGGGAAAATTTTTGAAGCCTGGGAAAGGCTTCAACAGGATTGCGGGTTTCCCACCAGTTTATCAGATGCTTAGGAGCTGAGGAAACAACAGCCAATGACTTAATACTTGGCCATCAACACCCAAAGAACAAAAGGCCACATACAACCAGGCACCACATAAATATCACATGTAGAACAGCCCAAAGCACAAATTCTGGTAGAGAGAAGTTCCTTGAGGATGAGCTTCAACACGAATTTGAAAGCTCGGAAGACTAAACCTCTGGTCTCGGTGACCGAACCCAGATTGGATCCTGAAACATGGCTCAAGCTTAGATCTTTAGATCTACTGCAGCTTCTCTCGGTAATCGTCACTTAGATGAATGAATCATCACTTTAGATAAATATTAGAAGACTTACCACATTCAAAGAAATTGTAAACAGGCCGTACTTTCAGCACTCGTTGCATATATTCATGAAGTATACAAACTTCAGACTTCCCATTGGGATTAATAACAAACTCTGGAAAATAAGGATATTGCACAGATGTGGCTTTGAATCTTTGAAATGTTCACTAGTAACAGCTACAGGATGAGAACAGCTTTCATTAAGAATTCCCACAGGATAAATACAACTCCTTGATACCAATCCCAGTACTTGTACTACCCTGACAATGAGTCGAAAATAAAATTAGCATTTTCCCAACATTCGGTGTAGGTAGTCCTCCCTTGGCGACAATGGATTCTCCCTGTAAATCATGACGATCGCAGAGTGGATTGTCATGAGACCTATCTGATTTTACAATATTTTTTTTGCAGCGGTCATTAAATAAACATGGCAGTCACCATGGCTGTTAAAGCAAACCAACTGTTTGGTTTTTTTGCATTTTGCCAACTGTTTTTTGCATTTTTTGCAAAAAAAAAAAATGTAAATCCTTTCTTTTTCCTTTGGCAAAAAACATTGTACAATGTGGTCACATGACTGGGGATCCTGCAAATAGCCGTAAGTGGCTGCTAGACCTGGGTTGTAAGTATCTCTGGGGATAACTTTGAATGGAAGAGACAAAACTCTGAATGGGAAGGACAAACAAATAAACGACAGTTCCATATAGAACTCTGGCTAATTCTCAGGGCTTTAAATCCATTCACAATCCTTACAACCAGCCTACCCTTCTTTGTGGGTGCATCTTGGACAGACAGCGTAATGAGTTTCTGATTGGCTGGCAAAATGGGCCTCTCAGACTCCGCCTGCTTCCTCTTCATCTCCCGGTTGAACTGCCGCCGCTCGGCCCAGGTTCGGAACTTCTTCACCGTGACTTGCTCGAAATCGAAACATTTTTCCAGGTAGTGTCGGAAATCCTCAATATCTGAGGAAACAAAGCAACCGTCATCGTGCCGTGCTCCTTCCAACTGAGCGCAACTGGGTTCGGTCAGGGGAGCGACCTGATTTACAGGACATTAGGGCTTATGGTCATAATAAGGTCGTAAGTCAAGGATTACCTGTAGATGGAAATATCTGAGAAAGATTTGTGCTTATGTCCCTTTGCATCATACTGCAAACAAGCAGTTACACAAAAAAGAAAATTAACTGAGTAACTGAGCTGGAAGGGACCTCGGACGTTTCTAGTCCGACCCCGTTTAAACAGGAGATCCTACACCAATCTGGAGAAGTGGACATTCACAATTTCTGGAGGCAAGACGTTCCACTGATTAATCGTTCTCACTGTCCAAAAATCTCTCCCTACTTCTAGCTTGGATCTCTCTTTGAGGTGCTTCCATCCGTTGCTTCTTGCTCTACTTATAATGTACATCAAAGTGACATTTAATGTACAGCAAGAGGATCTCTGGATGACTGATCCCCAACTTAAGTTGGCAGGATGGGGCCCACCTGGAAACGGTAAACGACAGGTCCTCACCTACTGATTCATCTTTGCACACTTCCACCTTGGCCTTCACTTGTCCCAAAGCTCCTTGGGCTGCGTCTCCCCCAGTTGGATCTTTCTCATCCAACATTCCGGAATCGGCTGCAGTAGAGTCCGGCTCCTCTGTTTGAGAATCCAGTTCCAGGGATTTCTCCGTCAGCTTTACGGGTGAAACCTCCCTGCTTGGGGTGATGTCATTGCTTTGTTCCCTTTCCTCGTTTTCTCTCATTTTTTTATAATGCAAACAAGGAATGCTACTCAGAGGAGGGTCGTGTTTCTGCAACAGAGTTTGCAAGTTCAAAGGTGAGAGCAGGACTACAAAACCAACATGTAACTTCCCTCATAGATAATGCCCTAGCTTTTACCAGCAATGCTTCAGACCCGTGAGTATCGTCGTTATACAAATCAAAACACAGCAGGGAAGTCAAATGAAATATGCTTTCTACAAGTGTTTTTATATGCTTGTTAGACAATCATCTGGCTCTCTAGCAACTTACACCCCTTTAAAGTTATTTTCTGTACTATCAGAATAAAAATCTTGTGAGAAGCAATTAATTTTAAAAGTGCACCTTGGAAGTATCAAAGTATAAAGGGGTCCTAATTACTTCAATGTATTTTTAGTAATTTTTAAAATGAACTTTTAAAGGTCAACGCCTGGAACGCCCTACCTGACTCTGTTGTTACAGCCTCAACCCCTCACAGCTTCAACCTCAAACTGTCTACCATGGACTTCACTCCATTCCTAAGAGGCCCTTAAAGGGGGCGTGCATAAGCGCACCAGCATGCCTACCGTCCCTGTCTTACTGTCCCCATGTATCTGTATTTACTCCCTTGTTGTTTATGTTCATACTTATCTTGTACATGTTTGACAAACAAACAAATAAACTTAAAAAGTGCACCTTGGAAGTATCAAAATGGAAAGTGTTCCTAATGGTTCCAATGTATTTTCAGTAATTTTTAAAATCAAAGTCATCCACCGTATGTTACCGTTGTACACAGGGTGCTCACAAGTCCCCAACTTTCCTCTGTAAATGTTTCCCCATAAAAGAAGTGGAGAGGAACGTATTTCCACCTGCTTTAAGATCTCACTTTTCTCTGCAGCCAGATGCCTCCAAGAAGGCTAGAATAGCAGAAACTTATCCAAGAACAGCTTTCTATGCTCTTTGACTTTATTTCAGCTAGAGGCCTTCACTCCCTCTTGCAGAAGAGGACTCTATAAATCAGTTATGCATAATGCTTAAGGAAAGGAGACCAATAAGAAAATACCAATCCTCTTAAATTACTAATGAGCCAAGTGTTTTAGTGTTAAGTAACCTATAAAGCAATTATGATTTTGTAATAGAATGACAATTCAAAATAGATCTTTTAGTCAAAGGGCAGGAAGGCCTTTTTTTTCATATTATTCTGAGTGATGCTGACAGTTTCATAATTAGCTTGGCTCCAGCATGCAGATAATCACCGACTTATGACCACAACCGAGACCTGAATTTCCATAGTTAAGAAGGCTAGCAGTTGTTAAGTGAATTAGGTTGTTAAGTGAATCCAACTTGAAGTTTAAGGACTGATGTTAATCACGCTTTTCAGAACTATTGTAACTTCACACAGTCCTCAAATGAACGGTTTCTATGGAGATTCTCAGTCATCCAGGTCATGGTTGTCCCAAAGGTGCTTTTTCAACAACCCTAAAAAAAGAGTGCAAATGACCAGCTGTCTGCAAGGAGTATAAATCCTTCCATTCCTCACCATCCAGTCAGAGCTGAAGAAGTTTCTTGGAGAAGCGAAACGTCTTCAAAGAATAAACAAGAAAGGTCCAGTTGCTTCTTGAGAAAAGCACCTTTGGGATAAATGAACGGTTATAAGTCAAGGAATACCTGTAGCACCTCATGTCTTAAATAAGATGACATCGGATTTTACAGAATCAAATCCAGTGACAGTCAGCCACGCTCTTAACAATGGCAGAACGCCTAACGTTGATTCATATTTCTAAAAGACATACCCTGATGCTTCCTGTTCCCAAGAAATAAGGTCTGGACCAGGTGACCACGCGAGACTCTCTGTGTAGGTAGACTGGGATACCCGAGTTGTGGAATGTCATGATCCATCCGTCAGGCAACGGTTCTGTAGGAGGGCGACCACGACCTGGGAAAGAGAAACACACCAAGGCACTGCTTAGTGCCCAGACCCCTCAATTATTATTTTGAAACAGAAGTGCCTCCCACTTCCCTGGTTAACTATCAAGCTAGCCAGAGGCTTGAGGTTCTTCAAATGCTGGCTGAAGAAACCCTCTTGACACGCAAGTTGAAGTTTATCAACACTTCCTTTTTCTCCAAAGCGGGAGTCTTCAACCTTGACAAGTTTAACTCCCAGAATTCCCCAGCAGGCATGGCTGGCTGAGGAATTCTGGGAGTTGGAAATCCGCAAGTCATAAAATTGCCATGGTTGGAAATCCATGCTGGCTTTGCTCACACCTGGAACAACACTTGTGTTCTGCGTGTGGACCAAAATTTATTTTTATTTATTTTTCACACTCCTTAACCACCCATCTCCCTCACAGAAATACAGTTGTTCTGGGCAAGATGTGAACAGGAAGAGAGCCAGCCTCTTAGCGAAACTGAGATGGTCAAAGCAATTAGGTGCGGGATTAGTTGCGACAGCTTACTTTTAAGAACAGTTTTTATTTTGGTCATCATGGGTTGCACAGTGGTCTCTCCGTCAGACTGATGGTCGCTTTCCCCTCCGTATTTCTCATCCATCCTCCTTTTTTTGGGAACGCAAAGGCCCTCTTCCAGCAGAGCGTCCACGTCATTATCAAATTCATCCTGAAAAACATACTGTCAGGTAGATACCACGCCCCATATTCTCCTCATTCCCTGAGAAGACAGGTATGGCTGCAGAGACCTATAAATTGTCCAAGTGACTCAGACTATATCAAGGTGGAAGGTTTCACGGTGCTAAGTAGCTCAGCAGTTCTGTAATAATTCAGGAAGATTTGATGATTTTTTTATGCAGCTACTTCGATGAGCTCTACAGATAGTCCTCATTTAAGCAACCACAACTGGGACAGACAACTCAGTGGTTAAGCGAAGCAGATACTAGGTGAATCTGCAACTTGGCTTATGGTCTTCCTTCAGCTTTCCTTTGCTTTACAGACCTGTGAAGGCTGCAACACCCTTACGACCATTTTTCACACCTTCCATAAGGTTAAGTTACTTTTTTCACCTTTGTTGCGACTGAAAATGGTTGCCAACCAAGAACTACTTGTACAGGTAAGTCCTCGGCTTACCATTTGTCCAGTGATCATTTGAAATCACAACAGCACTAAAAAAAGCAACTTATGATTTTTTTTCACACTTACGACCATTTCAGAATCTTCATGGTCACACAGTCAAAATTTGGATACTTGACAACTGGTTCATATTTATGACTTGCAGTGTGCCATGGTCATGTGATCCCCTTTTGCGACCTTCCGACAAGCAAAGGTAATGACAAAACCAGATTCACTTAACAACTGGGTTACTAACAGAACTGCAATGATTCACTTAACAACTGTGACGAGAAAGGTCATAAAACAGTTGCCTCCAAATTTCTCAAGATAAATTTTAGTCTCAATTGTGGTTGTATGTTGAGGACTAGCTGTATCTTCTCTGCAATTAAGCCTCAAGCCCAAATTTTGTTCCACCAAGATTTTCTTCCTATACCTCATTTCCCCCTCCCTTCTCAGTTCATATAAATGCTGCAGAAATGCTGTATATTCGCAAATTTCCTTCCTGAACCCAAACTCTGGAAAACAAAACAAAACCATAGTTACCTCATAAGAATAGTGCAAGGTTTCTTCGTCCGCTTTGTCTTGCTGAACGATCGCCTTAGATGCAAACCCTCCTTCTTCATCTATTTCCATCAAATTGTCTGTAAAGTCTTCTAAATCATCCAACACTGCATATTCCACTCGCTTTTCCTGATCTACCTCGTTGTCCTCATCCTTGGCCTCCTCCTTTTCGCTGGCTACCTGAGCCGCCGGGCCACTACCCGCACCGAGAGGGCAAGCATGCAAATCCCCATTGACACCGCGAAACCCTAACTCTACCCCTGCCTCATAATCTGGCTCAGCTCCAGTGTATAGCACTTTTCTGTCTTTGCTTTTGCAGCTCTCGGTAAAGTTAACGCTAATCTTTACATCTTTAAGCAACTTAAGACTGGGAATGAACTTCCTAACGGAGGGCGCGTGGCGAGCAGTTCTTGGGCTTTGGCCACTATAAGGATCTATGATAAGACGACTTTGGTAGCACGGAGATCCCTTGGTGAGGAGCTGCGTCCCGTTGCCAGCGTGGGCGTCCCCAGCAGGGGTATCTGACTGTCCATCACCACCGGAGCTAACGTCCATTACCTCTGCGTCACTGGACGTTTGCAGGGGAGGTGGTGGAGGCTGTTCGTTGGGCGGCAGTGGTGGGGGACAAGAAGGGCTCTCCATGTTCACTTCAGTGCTGGCTGGCTCTTTTGGAAGGGGAGGTGTGTTCTCACAATTCTCCATCGCTAAAACTTACCCAGAGGGGAAGGAGCGGGGGGGGGGAAATAATAACAAACCCACCAAGTTTTAAAGGAAAGGGTTGTAGGAATCTATGATCCTCACATGCAGAAGTCCCTCCAGAGAGGATGGGTCGTGCTTTATTCAAAAGGCAACACTGATGATTCAGTTAAGCTGACTACATTGCTCTTTTCATTAATGTGGACAGCTTTCAGAATCACTGTCTCAATTACTGGAAATCACAATGCATTCAGCTTAAATAGCTGATGTCCAAGCTAAGAGCTTCTTCCGTGGGTGTTGTAGATCTCCTTCATTTCTTTCATCCTGCAAAGAAAAATAAGCCAACTATCAATCACTCGGATTAGGAAGTACAGTCCAATTATCCAATCCTGAGAATAACATACAGGTAGTCCTCTACTTACAAGAGTTTAGTGTACGTTTGAAGTTACGACGGGACTGGAAAAAAATGATGGGGAGCTGCTCTTCCGGTTTCCGGCGCTCCCATGCACGCGTCCAGCTGACAGACGTGCATGCGCACGCCGGAACTTAGAAAAGCAATGGGCGATGGCTGGCATGCCTGGAGAGATGGCTCTGTGTGCCACTTCCGGCACATCTGCCATAGATTCGCCATCACGGTTCTAAGTTAACAATGGATTATAGGCAACCCATCCTTGGTAAAATTATGATGATGTACGGAGTATGGTTATGAAGACTTGTTTTCATTTTATCTATAAGTACAGCTTCCATATGTGTCATTTTGTATTTTCAGGTTCTGGAGTGATAGATGCAAGTGGCAGGCAAGGATCATGGTCTTTAAGGGAAATACCATCTTCAACTTTGATAAGCCTCCTTTGAGAATTCAAAGGAGTTAGAACAGCTAGATAGAACCAAGTAGATGAACAAGTAGATTTATTTCAGATTCTGTTCAATCAAAAATTTAGGGTAAGGTGTTACACTGTTATGAAACAACACCAAGCTGGACCAAGTTAAGATTTGCCAGAATAAATATGTGAACTTTGTTGCCACAAGACTCACTTGCTTATACAGGCTGTCTGCTTTAATAAAAGAAAAAAATGGTCAGAACTGAACTTGGTCACCTGGCATGCTCCCAAAAAAGCATCATGAACTACAGAAACAAAACAAAAAGGATCCCTTGCTTTGAAAGGCAGCGAATTTCACACGACTGAAAAAGCTGGTGCTTTTTTTACGAATTACTCACAGTCATTGCTCTGCAGTTACCAGAAATGTATTGTACTAGCTCCCTACTCCCACCTTCATTCAATTGTGTTCAATTCTCAATACTGCCTGGGCAAGTATTTAATAATGCACCTAAGAGGGCCACAAAAACTAGAACACCTACAACTCGAAAGGAGAAAATGGTGGCATTCCCTTTGAAGTCTGATTTTTATTGGACAGAGGTGTCTCGTCTCTCCAGCACTCAGACAGCAATTGTACAGTTGAGGTAATGCGAAAAGGTTTATTTCCCTCCCCTTCTTTTATGAGAATCTTGCAATGACTCAAATTAATATCATACACCATGATTTAACCCTAATTACAAGGAATCGGGAAAAAGGCACAAACACCAATAACTTTTATACGTATGTATAATGTATGCATTTATGTGTACATAGATACATGTACATATCTATCTATCTATCTATCTATCTATCTATCTATCTATCTATCTATCTATCTATCTATCTATCTGGAAGGATGGAGAGCAATGTAGATAGTCCTTGACTTATGACAACTGAGCCCAAAATGTATGATGCTAAGAAATTTGTTGTGAGTTTTGCCCCATTTTATGACTTTTCTTGCCACATTTGTTACGTGGATCACTGCAGTCATTAAATTAGTAACATGGGTTATTAAGTGAATCCGGTTTTCCCTGTTGACTTTGCTCGTCAGGAGGTCACATAAGGGGTTTCCCATGACTCCAGGACACTGAAACCATCATAAATATGTGTCAGTTGTCAAGCATCCGAAGGTAAATCACAAGAACACGGGATGCTGCAATGGTCATAAGTGCAAAAAATAGATCCTAAGTAACTTTTCCCCCGTGCTGTTTTCACTTTGGTTACTAAACAAACTGTCGTAAGTCAAGGACCACCTGTAAAAAAATAAGATTGTGTGCCACCCAGGGTAAGATGGGCAGCCAATAAATCTTACAAAATAAAAATAACAGCAGAACAATAAACAATCAACCTCCAGTTGGTTGCTTCATCACTGGAGGTTTTAAAGAAGAGATTGGGCAACTATTAGTCTGAAATGATATAGGATCTCTTGCTTGAGCAGGGGGGGTTGGACTAGAAGACCTCCAAGGTCCCTTCCAACCCCGTTTTTGTGTTAATTACCTCCTCACCTGTATTGTGTGTTCTCTTTCATGTTACCCACCCGAGAAGAAGGTTCCCCCCCACCCAAAAACCAGGAAGGCAGCTGTATCCCTCCCTCCCCGATGCCCATTTTGACCACGAAGTGTTACCCTGGATGGGGACTCCCCAAAACCCCTTGACTCGGGGTGACTTTTGGGCCAAGCCCAACTGACCTTATAGAGTTGTGGCCCTTAAAAGGAAAGAACCCACCATACACCTAAGGCATCTAAAGATCTCACACGATTTAAACGCCATTAAAATAAATACACCCCAAGTTTTCATCCCCCTCCCCAAATTCGGGGGAGGGGCGTAATGGAGTCCGGGCCATGTCACGTGGCCCACTGAGCCCTCCCCCCCCGGCCGTCAATCAAACGAGGGAGTGGGGGGAATCAGTGCTTCTCGGCCTACCAGGGCCACGGGGCCTAGTCAAAGAGGCTTCGGCGGGCAGCCCCCTCCTCTAAGCGGAGGCGGCCAGGCCCGGCACCCACCTGAGCCATGCCCGCCCGGTCTCAGCTGCTCCTCCGGGTCTCTTCCGCGTCCGCCTAGCTCCGAGCCGGCGTGAGGGAGGGAAAGCGGCCGCCTCTTCAGCCGCGGCTTTTCACTCACTGTCTCCCCGCCTCAGCGAAACCCTCTTCACGCGGAGGCCACCATCTTTAAACGTCTCCTTACGCCGCTGCAGGAGAAGCCGCCCAGCCCTCCCGGCCAATCGGCTGTCGAGGAGAGCTCGCGCGCTTCCCGCCCATTGGGGTACGCGGAGGCGCCCCCTTCGCCTCTCTTGCGCGCCGCCAATAGAAGCCACGGGCGAGGAAGAGCGGCCAATAGGAGCGGTGGGAAGGCGGGGCCCGAAAGGGGTAAGGGGGGGCGCAATGGTGACGGGGCGGGCTTTCGGGCTGTCGGTCAAGCAGCTGACTCGGCAATAGGAAATAAGTCTTCATAAATAAAAATAATAGCAAAGATTGTATGAAGCGTGCAAGGATGCACGTACGAATCTGTCCAGTTGGAGCACTCTAACCTTGGGATTGCGGAAAATATAAGCAGATTGCTTAGAGTGGAGCAGATGGGAGTGAAAAAGCATTGCCAATATAGCCCTTAGACTTATATCCCGCTTCACAGTGCTTCTACAGCCATATCTAAGCGGTTTACAGAGTCAGCCTATGGCCCCCCAACAATCTGGGTCCTCATTTTACCCACCTTAGAAGGATGGAAGGCTGAGTCAACCTTGAGCTGGTCAGGATCGAACTCCTGGCAGTGGGCAGAATTAGTCTGCAATATTGCATTCAAACTATTGTGCACCATGGATGGATGGATGGATGGATGGATGGAAGGAAGGAAGGAAGGAAGGAAGGAAGGAAGGAAGAGCAGTAGGAGGAGAAGTAGCCCTTAGACTTATGTAGCACTTCACAATATTTTCCAGCCCTCTCTAAGCGGTTTACAGAGTCAGCCTATTGCCCCCAACCATCTGGGTCCTCATTTTATCCACCTTAGAAGGATGGAAGGATGAATCAACTTTGAGCTGGTCAGGATTGAACTGCTGACAGTGGACAGAGATAGCCTGAAATGCTGCATTCTAACCACTGCGCTACCATGGCTTAATGATGCATTCACTTATTAAGTAAGGTTGATGAGCCAGATTTCCACCTCTCATTAATTAATTACTATTGTTTCTTGGAAGACCACTGAAGGAGAAAAACTGGACAGACACTTATCTGAAATGGCATAGGGTCTCCAGCCCCCTCCAGCAGGGGCTTGGGCTAGAAGATCTCCTAGATGCCTTCCAACTCTGTAATTCTATTAAGATTTTGTTAGGTAGTCCTCAATTTACAATCATTCATTTAATGACCATTTGAAGATACAACAGCCCTTTGTTCTGACCCAAACCTGGTTCCAAGAGACCAAACACAGGACAAAGGTAGCAGCACAACCTTTTAATGCTTCATTTATGAATCCTGTTTCTTCACAGATAAAAGGCTGCTTCCAACTAATTAGCTCCGATAAGAAAGAGCCTTGCCAACTTTTTGCAAGGCTGCCAAGAACAACAGATAAAATTCCTGAAGAATAAATCAAAGAGTCTCCAAACACAAACTCAGATATTCCTAATGTCCACCAGGCTCGAGTACAAAACTTCTTTGCCTTCTGCAAAGAAGTGCAGTTTCTCAGCTGGCTTTTATTTTCTCAGGGAGGGGGGCCATTTCCTTGCAGCCTTACTCCCGAGTCGTCGGTGCTGCTGCAGCTGCTCTTTCCTTCAAGCAGCCCTGTGCGCATGCGCACTGGGCACAGGCTCCTCGGGGACCTCTTCATCACTGCTTGCAGCCTCCACAATCTCCGAAGGCAGCATTCTACTCCCTGATGGTCCTGGCTCCATCCCTGCATCACACGCAGGCCCCTCATCTGAGTCCTCGCTCTCCGAGACCTCAGCCGTCCACACCTGCTGCCGGTGAACCACAACACCCTTACGACCATTTTTCACACCTACGACCATTGTAGCATCCCCATAGTCACGGGATCAAAATTCTGACGCTTGACAACTGATTCATATTTATGACGGTTGCAGTGTCCTGGCAACCTTCAAGCAAAGTCAACGGAGAAGGCAGATTCACTGAACTGTGCTACTAACGTTAACAACTGCAGTGATTCATTTAAAGAACTGGCAAGAAGGGTCATAAAATGGAGCAAAACTCACTTAGCCACTGTTTTGCTTAGCCATGGAAATTTTGGACTCAATTGTGGTCATTAGTCAAGGACTACCTGTACAGCAAGAAAATAGCCAGGAAGAAACAAAATAATACATTACCTTCTTACACACTAGAACCAAAAATAAGAGGCAGTATATGAAAATGCCTAATCGATTTAATTTTGACAAGGAGCCTGGACCTATTTCCCCTTTTTATTTTCAAAGGCTGTGCCTCCGTAGTAAAATTGATGCTAGAGCCTATAGGTTTCTACCAGTGGGTATGAAAATTGTATTCATCACCTCCTTGGAACCAGATGTATGCTGAACAGCAGCAAGCAAGCATGTATTTACAAGACTGATCTGGCTTCTTAACCGCATTATAAGGCGAAAGAACAGCTTGTTTATGTTATTTTATTAAAAATACCTTGGCTGCTGGAGGAAGGGGCACCAATATTTTTTCCCCCACCAGCAGCCCTTTAAACAGAGGCATTGTGCTTAATCTGGTTTATAAATGGGTTTAATTCTACCTTCGGGGGGGCGTATACCTACAAGCTGCTTGCAACAGAATGCCATCAGTAAATACATAATTGCAATTTAAAAACCCCTTCCTGCCTCCAAATTTTAAAATCTAGTAACGAAAGGACAGCATAATGTTGTTGCTGCTGGCCGAGATGAAATGTGGTTTAAATAAAACCCAGAGTCTCTGTTTGCATTCCAATGAACAAAGCACCCTCTTAAAACACCGATTAACTACTAGTTTATAGCTGTTCAATCTGTGTGGTCTTTTTGCTCCAGTGGTTAGAAACGGGTAAAGGAATTTGTGGGTGTTCTCACAAAATGACTGTCATGGTGGGTGTAGCCATACTGTTTCCTTGCAACAAGAAGCAGGTAGTTCCCCACTGAATTTTTTTTCGGGATGGACTTTTGGGTCTAAATTATGCTCTTAAAGTTTGCAACGTGGTATCATGTCTTCAGAGTTGACCAAGTTAGGAAACAGACACTGGATGGATGAGTTGAAGTCCACATTATTGTTATGGAATATAAGAAGAGAAAGTTGAAAGCCTGAGAAAGATACAGACCAGTTCGAGACCTGGGAAGATGCTGGAAAAGATAAGCAACAGATGTGAGAACACCAAGAAGCAAGCAAAGTTATAACCAGAAATCAACATGGGTTTGTCAAAAACACATGACAGTTTCATCATCAAAGAGTATCTGAAATAGTATAGGATCTCCTGCCATGAGCAGAAGGTTGGATTAGAAGACCTCCAAGGTTCCTTCCAACTCTTATTATTCTATAATTCTCTCTCGCCACTCTTACACCAAAGAAGATCAAGGCCAGGAAATCTTGAGTTCCTTCCTCACCTTCTCCTATCTATCCAGGTCCAGCTGATGTTTTTGTTACGGTCATTAAATATATCTTCAAGACTATCTTCACACCCTTTAACAATTGGCATTAAGGTGTCCTAGATTCACATATCCTTAAACACTGATGGAATTGGAATTATGCCCACCATTGCTACTGTCAGGTTGTCCAAAAACCAAGACAGACACCTTGAGGTTCTTCTGGCTACTTGCACCATTAAATACATACTTTGAGAATTACTAAAGGAGAAGTTGTCTTCATTCATCTCAGCCAAACTATCTCAGCCAAACTTTGCTATCTTGTCTTGGTCCTCTGAAATACAGCCTGTCAGCCTTGGAAGCCATTTTTTTACTTGGAAGCTTCGAGGCCGCCACATTCAGTGCCTGGGAATTTGGGAGGGGGGATTTCATAGTGAGGTAGAAGACGCAACAACATCCTTTCTCAGAGAGTCAAGGACATGTTGCCCTGCACCTGGAGGGGAGTGACTGGAGGGATGTCTACAGTTGGGACAAAGATTGGATGGGGTCATGTGATGGACTGATGGATGCAGGGGATGGATCTTGGATTTCTCTTTTGGGAAGGGAAAACCTGGAACTCTCAGATTCAGATTTTCCCAGATGTGCCAATAGGACAACTCTCATCAAATGAAACTTTGAGGAACTGTTTGTCTTGGAGTTTATTGGTTTGGAGTTGGTTAGTTGGAACGCTGACACGGCCCCTCCTGCAAGTCCAGACTTCATTCTATCCCAGCTACAAACTCCCCTGTTTAAATGCTACTTAGCATTGATTCTTCAGAGTAAGGGTATACAACCTTGACCACCTGAAGACCCGTGGACTTCAACTCCCACAATTCCCCTGCCAGCACGATGACCTCGATAGGCTTCAGGCAGGAAGTTAAAACCTGACACTTCCAGCAAGCTTTGTTTTTATTCATAGTCCCACTAGGCAGCAGACATGGAGTTTTACATTTGATTTGTCCTTTCCAAGCATGCTTCTTTTCCATGGTTTTCAAAAATTATGGCTTTTACCGTAAATTACCATGGCTGGCTGAGGAATTCTGGGAGTTGAAGTCCACAAATCTTAAAGTTACCTACATTAGGCAATCATGCTTCAGAGTAGGGGTGTCCAACCTTGGCAACTTTAAGCCTGGAGGACTTCAACTCCCAGAATT